ATTCTTTGACTTGTTATTTTGGCTTGCGAAGCCAACAAACAATTGCACAAACTTGGTTTCAGTGCATTTTCTTCTAGCCAAAAGTAGAGCGAGTCCATTAAGAAAAATGACCATAAATCATCTAGAATTATTAGTCTGCTGTATAGGAGTCAGACTCGCAGCTCTTGCTTTACTAGTGAAGTGATTACAACACTTACTAGTGAAGTGATTACAAACACTCAAATTAGACAACGTTCCAAGGAACTATTGGACAGATTCGAGTACTGCTCTTTCTTGGATCCAAAGAGATGACCATTGGGCGCCATTTGTCGCAAATAGAGTAAAAGAGATACAAAAATTGTCATCGGAATCCGAATGGCATCACATTCAGATTCCGATGACAATCTGTCCAGGAAATTCGAATCCAACAGATATACCATCACGAGGGTATTCGATTAAGAGTTTTGTAAAATCTCGCTGGCGTCAAGGGCCAGAACGGCTTATGAAGAACGATGAAGAGTGGCCAACTAGTGAAGTGATTACTAACAAAGAAGCAAATATCAACTCCAGACCATTCATACGTGTCAGAAAATTCCACCGATTTATGTGCACTCACTCCATCTATGTTTATTCAGGATGTGCAAACTGAAGGTGTTCCGGATCTGGACAGTTTGGATAAAATCAACTTATCGAAAAGATGGCGATATCACAAAAAACGTGTGGAATTTCGTAAAAGATTTAGAGGTGAATATCTTGGTCTGTTAGTACATCGACCAAAGACTGTACCTTTGCGACCCATCAAGAAAGGTGATTTAGTGTTTGTAGAGGACGATAAAAGGAAAAGAACAGACTGGCCTATGGGTCGTGTGATCGAAACATACCCAGGAAAAGACAACAACATCAGAGTCGTAAAAGTAAAAACATCTAGTGGTGAACTGTTAAGACCAGTTCAAAGAATATTTCCAATGGAGATAGACAATAAAGAATCTATCTTCGAGCTTAAAACAACTGAATCATCCACATCTCCGAGAAATACTGGTAAAATGAATGATTTAGTAACTGATACCAAAAATAAATTCTGATAAAAACATTCAGTTTAGTAGATATGGCAGAAAAATTGTAAAACCAAAGAACTTTAATTAGTTTAATTTTGTTTTCAGTACCACTATTATTTGTTTTCTTTATTCCTTTCTTTGAATTTAATTTTGTATACAATTTGATTTTCCAGTTTAGTGAATCTCTTTACTAGTATTTTTCAGAAAAGAATTTTTTGGATGTTGTTTTTGCCTGAATATTAAGTAAGTTTAAAATATTCAAGATATTTGTTACGCCTAAATAAAATTGGTGATTTTGGTAAGATTTAAATTACTCATCTTATATTCGTATTTCAATTTTCATTTCAAAATTGGGTTAATCTTTGGATTATGGCAACTTGGTGAAGATTTGGCGGCCAACCCTGCTAGTTTTTTTTTTTTCTTCTTCCCCCCCCCCCATTTTGTTTTTACAAAGTAAAGGCATTTTTTTTTTTTAACTCAAAATTTTTTTTCCAACAATCTGATAGCCAAATTACGCTTATGCTAGAACTTTTATGGAACAAAAGTGCTTAATCATGACGAAGATTAGGTTCGAAATTGGGAGAAAGTGCAGAATCGCCCACTGCTTGCCGCGTTTTTAAGAATTGCACATACACGGTATCCATGCACACGTCGACCTATTTTTACTTAAAAAAAATCCCAGAATTGCACAAAAATGGCATTGCGCACACTCTTGACTTTATCCATGTACACTGCTAAAAGTCCTAGCTAGTAACCTTTATCGCCTTACCAAAATGTCGCCAAACTACCTGTTACCATATTCCAAAGATTAGTCCACAATTGTTTTGATTTTTCCATACTTTGTCAAAAATCAAAAGGTGGGAGAAATGTTACAACTCGAACGCGAAATGAGCAAAAGTTTCTCTTCTGCCAGCGGCGACGAGGAGTCGAAAAACGAACTTGGAGGAGAGCGGTCGCTCACTCGGTTTCTCTCGATAGAATTTGATACGAAGGGGGGATAATCTCCATCTTTTGATTTGAAATTAATCTCGAATTATGTATATATTGTAATATAAAAGATGTGTGTAAATAAAAGTCATTAAGACTTAATTGAAGTAGTGATATGAATCGAATATACAAATCGAAAGCTCTCCCAAACAGAACTATGGATTATAGATATAACAGTTCAGATGGTCACTATGTAAAGCGTTCGATCAGAAAGAGTACCTGGTTTGAAAAAAAGTAATTTGAGTATGATTGATATTTTAATTTTTAAGTGGCTCTGGGTGTACGAAGCGAACTCGAAAATCATGGTAAGTGAATATTTGCTTTTGGTAATGCTTAAATGTGTAACATGTTTTTCCTTTTTTATGTTATTTTATTGTTTGGTTTAAAATGTATTTTATTGAGATTATGTATTTTTTGTTTGCCTATATTGTAGAATTTGGTGCTCCTTTGACTTTTTAAGGACAAAGTAAAGGGAGGGCGCAATGCAAGTTTGTGCAATTCGGGGATATTTTTTAAGTGAAATTAGGTCGACGTGTACATGGATAAAGTAAAAGAGTGTGCAATGCCATTTTTGTGCAATTTGGGGATTTTTTTATGTGAAAATAGGTCGACGTGTACATGGATAAAGTCAAAGGAGTGCACAATGCCATTATGGTGCAATTCGGGGATTTTTTTTAAGTGAAAATTTTTAAGTGAAAGTTTTAAGTGAAAAAGTCGATGTGTACATGGATACCGAGTTTGTGCAATTGTTTGTTTTGTTATTTTGGCTTTGTGTAGCAGCGATTTTTGGCACAAAAATCGTCGCTTCGCAAGCCAAAATAACGAGTCAAAGAACTGCACAAGATCGGTATCCATGTACCACCAAAAATCGCCAAGGGGTACCCTAAACTATACTTTTACCAAAATATTAAATATATATGAGTATTTATGCAAATCCTTGTAAAAATCATGCATTTGCCTTTAACTAAATATGTATATATTTATTAAATTATTAATAAGTGTATCTGGAAGTGAAGGATTTATTCATTCATAAACTCCTGTAAATATTAATGTGAAGAAATCTAGTTATTAAACATACCTAAAGTTATAATGATCATAAATCTTGATGACCTTAATATATATTATAATATATGATCTAAATATATAATGACCTTAACATTCAATTGTAAACATAAAATGAAATTCTATTGACAGATATATAAAAGTATTTAAAGATGAATTCTTTATACTGGAAAACAATCTATTAAAATTACAGCACAGTATAAGCATACTCAAGGAAGTAGTGAATTAAAATGTTTAGCATGTGCATTGTTGAAATAAAGGGGCAAACAAATTCTGATAAGTATTAAAAGAATTATTTTTTTACTTTTTTCAAATAATTCAGTTACAAGTTTTAAATAATATTAACATCTTCTCCCCAACCCCCTCATTTTATCCTTTTCAGAAATTTATAGAAAGCTCAGCAGCAATATTAAATGTATTTAACTATTAAAATAGCAGATGCTCTAATTTGAAATGAACCAAATAAAGCCTTAATTACAGAGTGCTTATTTTAAAGAGGCCTCAGAAGCTGAAAATCATCTCATAGAGAAAGTATTTCAGAAAGAGACTCTAAATAGATAATTTAATATTAAAATTAATTAATAATTAAAATAGCAATTTTAATAATAGAATAAGCTTCAATTTCAATTTCTGTAATTATTAACTTAATAAAATCAAATTACCTAAAATTTCATTCTAATGTAATTAGAAAAAATTTGTGAAAACATTTCATTCAAACTGAAACTGTTCTGAGCATGGAAAAGTATAGCATTTGATTCCGTTCAGAATGAAATGCTAGCTAAAAATTTATTCTTTCACATACTTAGGACTCTGAAATATTGTTGAACAACAAAATACATACATTTATATTTATAATGTTAATAAAAATATTCACCTCCTAACATGTCAAAACCTACTGATCTGAATCGCAAGTTACTGAATGTTTTGGAGAACAAGAGGAGTGTTATGGCTTCAAGGGAGTGTAAGGGAAAAATCAATTTGGGCCTCTCCTCTATTTTCTACCTCCATGTGAGAAACATTTTTTTTCAGTAGTTTTTCTGAGTAATGACTAAAAACGAAAAACTGGGCATTCCTTGATTTATCGAAAGAGTGGGATATAGTAAAAAAAAAAAAAAAAAAAAAAAAAAGAAAGAAGAAGAAGAAGAGTTGCAGACTTAGTAGCTATTGCTTACAAAGTTATCTCAGATACAAATCCAAATTTACATTATTCAAACTGAATAAAAACTATTGAATACATGCAATGTTTATACAGATATGCACTTCATATTTAGATTACTTCCAGTTCTGATTTTATTTTTTACTAATCATATAAATGTATATTAAAGCTAAAATAAATATACCGACTCTAGTGTAGAATTCGGTGCCCCTTCGATTAGCGACAATTTTTTGTAAAATTTTGGCGATGAAATCTTATTTCTGGTTACCATGATAGTGTAACTTTGCTTTAGCTTAGCCTCCTGATTTTTTTAAAAATAGCAAATAGATTGATGTGTACATGGACAAAGTTAAAGCAGTGCACAATGGCTTAGTTTGTGCAATTCTCGGATGTTTTTTTAAGTGAAAACAGATCAATGTGTACATGGACACAGAGTTTATGCAATTCTTTGACTTTTTATTTTCGTTTTGTGTAGCGGCCATCTTGAAATTGTGTCCTCCTGGCGCCGATCTTGGCGTCAAAAAACAAGGGGCACCCAATTGTAAACTTTTACCAATATACCTATCGAACAACAATTTTAACAACAGAGTTTATTTTTTATCATAAACTGTTCTTAGTACCATAACAGGTCTTGCTACACTCAGCTTTTTTGGATAATTCCTCTGTTTTCTTATTTTAAGTTTCATCAAACATTACAGTGAGTGGGCAAAAGATACAACAATATTCATATATTTTTATATTGTTTGGAACTTTCAACATACCGCATTACTGTTTCCTCCCACTTGCATGGCACGTAGTTGAAGCCAGGTCCAGTTGGTATCTAACTGAGTTGATCTCACAAAAGACAGATGAACTCCTAAGGAACGGTGGACAGCTGAACAGTCCATGCAAATAAATACTCCATAAGTCACACTTGCCCATGTTGGATTCTTAGCTCCGCAATCAAAACAAACCTAAATCATTATCAAAACTACATTTAATTCACCATAATGAAATGTTTCAACCATAAAATTACATTTCTATACCAAAATTCAGAGTTCAACTGCCAATTCAAGGAAACACAGGAAATTAAGTCAAGGAAAACTTAGCAAAATTTGAAGTTTCGTCACAATATAACTTAATTACATAAAAATTTCAAAATTAAGTCAAGTATTTAAATATAATGAACTACACAACTGATAGAGCAAAATTATCAACGAAAATTAAATACCCGCGTATAAAAAATTTGAATCTGCAATCGTATACTTCATATGCAATCGTATACTCATTATTAACAAGTCCAACTATTAATAAATTTGATACGGAATAAAGTTCCGGAAAAGTGAACAAAAAGTCTTGTACACTCCATACCTTATTCGACTGGAGGCTTCGCAAACGTTTAAAAACAGATCCTATATCGTTTTTACATGGTTTCTCCTCCGCCATGATGCCTCGTTGTAATATAATTGATGACGTGAGGTAAACATAAACGACAGATGCTTATTCAGTAAACACTTTTACAAACAAACGGATTTGCCCTTGCTTCATGGAACATTATCTTAGATAATAAAAAGATCTTATTTTTCTTATTTGGTATTTTAAGACTTAATAAGGATATGCGATTTACAATGAGAAACATTCGTTATTTTACAAGTATGTATAATATAACATATGATATCCATATATATTTTTTAAATTACACAAAAAAGTTCGTAATGCTAAATGTAATTCTTAAAACTTCTAATCGTTCAGGATCTCAAAATATCTTACGATAAATTATAAATATCAAAATGCACTCTAATCACACAAAATCGCACAACTCAACTCGTTGTTTACGGTTTGAAAACTCTATATTCGTGTCGAAGTTGTGAATGGTGGAAAGAATAAATTGCAATGTTTCGTAATATTAATCACTTATATTCTGTCTGTAGAAATGGGTTTAAAAAATCAAACCTGGCGTTTGTCGAGTGTAGCTATGCTTCAGTTGCTGAATCAGAATATAAGGATAACTTTTCAATTAAACTTTCCCAAACTTGTATTGACAGATTGAAACAAATCGCTACAGACGGTGTTTTTTTACGTATTACTATAGATGGTGGAGGCTGCTCAGGGTTCCAATACCGATTTGATCTTGATTCCCAGGTTAAAGACGGTGATAAATGTTTCGAAAAAGACGGAGCAAAAGTTGTGGTTGACGTGATATCTTTACCATTTATCAATGGTTCTACTGTTGATTACCATGAAGAGCTTATTCGCTCAGCTTTTAGAATTATAAACAATCCACAAGCAGATAGTCGGTGTTCGTGCGGAACTTCGTTTTCTGTTAAAATGAGTTAACGTTATTAAAATTAGCATATAACTACTGTTATACGTCAATAAATACAAAAAGATGTAGAGTCAGTAAATAGATGCATATTTTATTAAGTGTTATATTTCTTCAAGTCATAATTTGCGTGTAAAAATATTTATTAACAAGATATAAATCTGCATTTTATTTTTACTTCTGTTGTCCAAGTCAATAAAAACAAATACCGTAAAGTTTCACATTTTATCTATCAAAAAGTGGAAAAGCTCTCACATATTATAGTAAATAATAATAAAATTTTAAAAAATGAAATTTTCAAATTATGTCATCACTGCCAAGGAGGATACTCAGATAACCGGCACTTGGCGAACTTCCTGAAATCGCATTCATCATTTTATCGTAATTAATAGAATTCAATTTCAAATTAGTGGAAATAAAGATATGGTCTATAGTTTAGTAAGAGGGTTATTTTTTAATGGTAATTTTAATAAATAACATTTGATTGTGGGGGTAAAATCCTAGGAGAGCCCACACCTTTGACAAAAAACTGGGAAAGTGCAGAATCACCCACTGCTTCGTGCGTTTCTCAAAATCACCAACTTGAAAATAACAAGTCAAAAAAATTGCACAAACTCGGTATTCATGTACATATCGACCTATTTTCACTTAAAAAAACATCCCAGAATTGCACAAACTTAGCATTGCAAACTCCCTTGACTTTGTCCATGTACACAGCGATATGCGTCATATAAGTGGGTGCGCCAAGGGTGTGGACTCTGCTAGGATCCAGCCGATTGCGGGAATAAATATATCATGTAAATTAAATACTTGTTGCTTTGTAATGGCAGTCTAAATGTCTGTGCAAAACATATATATCTATCTTTATTTTCTTTGCATTTTGAAAATGTTTTTCTCTCTCAATCAATCATAGTTTTAATACTTTCAATAAAATGCCAGTAAAGGCAGCTAAAGTATAATTATTATATGAAATTTAAGATAAATATATTAAATTAATCTAATAAAAAATAATTGTAGGTACTTTTCTTTGTACAAGATGCAAGCCATCAGATGTGGTAGTCCATTTATATTGCTTCATAAATAACTATGCATGATGCCAAATTTGTGCAATTCTGTGATTTTTCTTAAGCTAAAACTTTAAAGATTCTTCCCATGTATATAGTGATTTGTTCTCACTTAAAAAAAAAAGAGAGAGAGAGATTTGAAAAAAAAATTATGTATACATATTAAATTATATCGGAGATTCTTAAACTTTTTCATTCATGACCACTTTTTATTATCGAATTTTTTTCCAGGTATTAAATATAAAATAAAGTTATAGATATTTTCTCATAACTAATTATTTCTTTGGTAAACAATATATACATGAAAAGAAACAGTTTTAGAATGTGCTTCATATATGCAAAAATGTATAGGGGAAAAAAAAAACACCTCATTTTGAGATGAATGTGCACATTTTATTCTGGTAATAAATTAAATCTTATGTAATATTTGACCTGCTGGATGTAAAGCATATTCAGCATTTTTTATATTTGTCTTTAATAATTATTAAAGCTGAAAAAAATCGTTTCACATAACTATGTGATGCTGAGTAACAGAAGAACATTTAAAACCATTTCAGAAATTGTTGGAAATTCAGTTCTGCCTCATCCAGAATTAAGGCCAGATTTTTATGAAAACTCAAGTTTGATGTGTCAGTCGATAGTTCAGCATACCTTGATACCGTAGTGGGTAGGCATTCTACTGCCTGAGCAGTACCTTTCTGTTCCCTAAAGGAAATCCAGAATCCAGGTGTTAAAAAAAGGCATGAAGGAATTCTTGCAGGAGGACATGATGTTGAGAATAGAAGAATAAGCCACATTTTCCTCCGTAAATCAAAAAACAGCAGAAGCAATCTGGTAGCTGGTAGCATAAGTGGCAATATCTGATGTCCTGAGGAGTGGTGAAAAATCTGGACATAAATCAAAGTCCATAATGGGAAAGGAGATTGCAGATCTTGTGCAGAAGTCTGGCCATTGGAGGAAGCTAAAATATATAAAAATTCAAATTTTCTCATTTTAGAGAGTCCTAAAAATAAGTAATAGCCATAATGAGTATGGAAAAGGCTGGAAAAATAATCAAAATCCAGAGAAAAAATTTTTGCACAGTCGAGGCCCGAACACATGATCTTGATTTCTTCTACAAGAACTAAGCTGTCATTACCTTTCTTGTTATTGTATGAAACACAAGTCAATTGGGAAGAAAAATGCAGTCATTATTGTAAGAAGAAAGGGAATTTACAAGTCAATTTCAAGTAATTTCACTAAGTTTACAGTGTTTTAAATATTGTAATTTTTGAAGGGAATATTTCAAAGCATTGCAGAATTTAACAGTCTAGTAATTTTGATAAGAATTTAGAATGTCCAAATTTGTGAAAAAAACTGATCAATAAATCCTGAGTCAGAAATCTTCACCATTAGCAGAGATTGAATGTCAGATGAATTTCGTGTTTCCATTGAGAGGATGAAAAGCACATTTAGTCAAGATGATTAAGTGATCTAAACTGCAACTGATGCACGTTGGTTTAGCATCTCTCGGAAGTCTACGTGTACGAAAGATGATCTTGGGTGCAATACAGATAGTGTAGTAAATTGTTACATCCAGTCTGGTAGTGTTCAGAGCACTGACATCTAAACCGGATCTTAGGTGCTTTGGCTGAACAATATTTTTTTTTTATTTTGATAGAAAGGGAGGGCAAGAATTTTTCATGTAAGATTTTTCTGCTTTTTGCATCATGCTTGAGTTCCGCGAAATGTATTGTGAAATTAGCAAGTCTACTCATGGCCTTTTTTTTAAATTGTTTTAGCTTAGTGACCACCTAACCCTTGTCAATAAACTCCATGAGTATGGATTCAGGATCTTCATCAACTGCAATTCCATAAATTTGATGAGTCATTGTTCCTTTGTCCAAAAGGTGAAGAACTGAGTCTCAGTTTTCAAAAGAACTCCCATTGCTCTTTCTCTGTCATCAGTAGACTACAAAATTTAAGTGAATTCCTCTCATCAGGTGCCGAAATAATCGCTAATGTCATTTTCAGCGAGGGAAGACTTAATCACCTTTCACGTTACTTGGGAACATGGGCAGATGACTGCAGGCAGGCATAGCCTTTTTCTTAACAGAGTTGTTGGATTTTAGAGATGGAGGTAGATGAGACTGAATCAGATAATTCAAGATATATAAAATCAGAGTCATCTTGTGTATTGCTTGGATCTGAATCATCAACTTGAACATTGTTATCATTTTTTTAATCAGTTTAAGTTAAAACAACAGTTATTCTTTCTTTCTCCTGTTAATTTCAGAAATTTTGTTGGCAACTTTTACACATTGAACATAAGAATTTTCTAAATTTCATTGCTTTATTTACCATTTTAATAGCAGTAGGTAATACACGATTTCCATTGGTACATGGCAATAAAAACTATAAAACTTCTTGTAATGCAAGTAAATATAATAATAATATCAGCTGTAATTTTTTCAATTTTTTTTTTATTTGAAGATTTTAACTCTCATTTGAAATAGAATTGATTTATTGACATATAAGCAGTACTTGGATTCAAGGTGCCTTTTTAATTTTGGTGATGTCACACTGTTCATAGCTAAAATGTTATTGCAAGTTATACAAAGAGGTTGTTCATTGTCACTGAAAGTAAAGCCAATTTGGAGAAATGTCTTATCAGATTTTCTATTTTTGCTAATTAGATCCCAGTTAAAGAGACTTATAAAATAAGTAGCTTGTAAAAATTGTGTGTGTGTATATATATATATATATATAATTGAAAAAGAAAATGTAAAGCTAACTGGTAATTAGACGTAAGACCTATTTGGTCCTGCATTGTTTCTACCTACTACTATTATATATATATATATATATAAATTGTAGTAAGCTCGCCTAAAAGTTACCAAGAGCTGCTGCTCCAAAAGGTTGATAAATTATTTCTTTTTCGCAGCTTTTAGCGCAAAAAAGCGTCAGTAAGTTCTGAAACCTTTTGGAGCAGCAGCTCTTGGTAACTTTTAGGCGAGCTTACTACAATTTTTATATTTTACTTATTTTGCAGCATATTGCGCAAGATGTTTTCTAGACCAAAATTGGTTTTTTAAAAATTGTTATTACTGCTTTGCTTGATAAATTGATATATATATATATTTATATACAGCTACAGTATT